GAACATTGAATTTGAGAATGAAATCAGTCCATAGCATTGTGGTTGTTTGAAGTGTGGATTGTTTATATTATTATATGTTAAACCAAGAAGCTCCCATTAAATAAATTATAGGATAGTGACATAAGATATCTAAATGGATGGTAACAAACTATACTTTCGAGTCACTTTACTTGACCTTCATGTTTGACCCTCCAAAAATTTTTAGTTTGATCAGAGTAACACACTGAAGCAAGCAGGGCTATAACTTTAAGAAAAAAGAAAAGAAAAAGAAAAAGAAAAATTCTATTCCAAAATGTACCTGGGAACAGATGTGTGCTCCAGCATAGGGACCAGGCTTTGTATTAGTAAAGCAGAGGAAGAAAGTGGGATTCACAAAGCTAAGGTCAGGCCATAGTGGAGAAGAAAAGGAAGAAAGCATGCACTTATTGAGTATCTAATATGTGCTAGGTTGGTGCTGTGCTGATTGATGTTCAACATTAAATATCACGAAATCCTTAGAAATTCTTAGGAGATATTATTATCCCCCTTCTTCCTCAGACGGGAGCATCCAAGGGAGCCAGTGGTGGGAGGTGACCCAGCTGCAGCCAGACACTGTCCTCTCTCCCTCTGCTGTGCAGACAGTGTGTAAGTGGGTAACAGTCAGTCAGGCTGCCTGTCTGTCTGTCTGTCTCAGAGGCAGCCTCAGCCGCCGAGCAGCCATGTGACCTTTCGACATCCATGTGTGCATCAGTATCACCCCACAAACCCTGCAGCAGTTTTTCTGCCCCCGTGAGTTGGTGTCTCATCCACCTACAAAGCCTCCCAACAGCCTCAGACGCACAGTCAATCTAGTTTTCATTTTGCTCTTTTTTCCTGGTTTGCCTTATGAAGGCAACAAAGATCCCCCCTCAAGGACAGCTGAGTAATTTGTGGGACCCACTGCAGATGCAAGTGCAAATGCAGGGTTCCTTGTTCAGGAAGAGGAGAAACAATGCCATTAAAGGTAATAAAAGCATTTAGCTTTCCTTCTGTGGTTTCTCAATTCTTTATGGTGCTTTTTGTTTAGTATTTATGTGAGAATACATTAAGAAAAATTAAAGTATTAAATTATTAGCATGAAATTTACCATCCTTTTTTTTAATCTTTGCCTGAGGATATTTAAAAAAAGAGAGAGAGAGGAAGGAAAACAGAGAGAGAGAGAGAGAGAAACATTGATGTGAGAGAGAAATATCAATCAGTTGCCCCCCAGAATCAAACTGGTGACCTTTTGGTACACAGGATGCCAGCCAACCAACCAAGCCACACCGGTCAGGGTACCATTCCTTTTTATATCATGCAATGCCAGTTTTAAATGCAAATATAAGAACATTTAGCTCATATGCAGAATCACAGAAATTACACAATTGGTATTTCATAGCTTGTACAGGCACATGTACTGCTTTCTTATCAAAACAGCAGGACAGCAAACAGAATTGTCAACTGTGTCTATTTCACCTCTTGATATATGCACATTCTGTCAACACAGCCTTCAGCTCATTGTTGGGTAAGGGAGGAAGGAAAGGAAAAAGAACTAGGGACTTCCCTCTCTTTCCCTCTCATGCTCTCTCTATCATCATTTTCAGTGTAAATAATTAGCTAATACAGGGAAGCAATGGAAGTAAGAAAGGAAAGAGAAGATTTATTGGCCATTTGCTTTTCTGTGCTTAAAGCAAATTCCGGTTCAATTGGAAAGCATAGCCTCCCAGAATTGTCAGCAGCCCCACCTCCTCAGTTGTTAGACAAACATACTTATCTTGTGCTCGTTTTGAGTCTCCATGAATTCCCAGGATTCTGGGAATTCTCTTCTCCTGGGATATCACAGACACTACACGGCAATTGCATCGCAAGAAACAACAAACATTGTATGTCTGTACCACCTTTGTTCCCACTCATGATCCATCATACCATGGACTTCACTTGCAGAATGCAGCTCAAAGAATTTCAAGAAGTAACAGCAGAGCATTAAACCAGGGATGGGGTCCTTCTGAGCACAGAGCCCCATGCAGCAACACAGGCCACGTGCCTTGGCCCTGCTAGAATTATTAACATCGGTCAAGCTTCCTGTAAAAACATGATAGGGAGCCTGTTAATAAAATGTTTCCAGGACCTAGCTTCAAGTGTTCGCATGCAAATTCTAGAGTATATATATTTGATAAGCTCTCTGAGTGATCAGGATGGACTTCTGGGTTTGCAAAACACCAACCTTGTGCAGGTCCAAGTCCCTGAAATGTGTCCTTCCTCCAGGCACCAGCCCTGGGAGCCAACTGCTTTTCTTTCTTTTATCTATTCTGTCACCCACCACCAAGGTTGACAATAAGCAAAAGCCTGGAATGGAGGGAGTGAAGAGGGAAGGGAAACAACAGACCCGTGGGCTGTAAATAAGATGTTACCATCTGCCTGATGGTCTGATTGCCTCCCTGGCCGTCCTTGGAGCAGCTCCTCTGTGCTCCTCAGCAGGGGACCCTGTACACTGGAGTCGGCCCTTTGTCCAGCTGCTCCCTCCCTCGGCTCCTCGCCGCATGGATGACCCTGCCTTTCCACCTGGCTCTTTGAACCAGCTTCTTCAGAACCACCTTCCACTTCTCCCTCTTCCTCAACTTTTTACTCCAAATTGATCTGTTCTTTCCAATTTTCCTTCCAGATCTCATGCAAATGCCTCTGCTTTTCTCTGTCTTCTCTGTCACTGCCTTGATTTATTGAGAGCTTATTATTTCCTCTCTTGAGTCACTTGAATGACCGTCCACCGAGACTCCTCACCTGCCTCCCTGTCTGCCCTCAACATTACAATGAGAGTCTTCTGAAATCCAGATCTACTATAATTCTCTTATTCAAAATCCTTTCATGGCTCCTGAGAGTCTTGAGCAAAATATTTAAATCCTTTATCGTCATATGTTAGGCCCCTACAGATGCGGCTCTTTCTGCCACAGACACAAAGTGCCAACCAAGCACAGTCCTCAGCAGCTCCGTGGGCTGAGCTGTTCTCTGCTCCTGCCTGGTTTCTGCAATGTGAACAGTTCCCTCTGCTTTGAACAGCCCCCTTCAGCCCTTCCCCTTTCCTTATCTACCTATCAAATTCTTGTTTGTGTCATTTTACGGGGTAGCTAAAAAACAATTTAAAAATCACCTCTGTTTCAATTTCCTAACACTCCTCTTCACCCATCTTAATGACTGCTCCCCACAACTTGAAACAAGCATCCTGTGTCCTCCCAACCAGGCTGTGAGGCCCTTGAGGTTTCTGCATAAATTATGCTGTCAATCACTGGAGGAACAAGACAAATAGGAAAGAAGGGATGGCTCACATCCGCTCTCCCACCACCTCACAGTTCTGTTGGTGGAACACTGTCTCCATTCCCACCATCCTAAACAATTGGAAAGATGATTCAAATGCCCACTAGAATTCCTCAAAAAGATCGCCATTCACAACCCACAGAAAAGTTTCTTATTTATAATTCTTCTCTCCAACCTCCTCTTCCTAGGACTGCCGTATCTCAACAGCTGCCTGAGAGGATATCTCCAATCTCTCATGATGGTTTGTCTCTTTTCTGCCTGACTGCCTTCCTGAATCTGTTTTCTCTTGGGAGTTCTTTACATTTTAAATATACAACACAGTTAACCTGCTGCAACTTTGCAGGTGGGAAGAAATCACCAGAGAGAGAGAGAGATTTGCTGTAAATTCCCAACATGCTTAGTCATTGGTGCAACATTTAACACAGTGGCTTGCAACCGTGGCTGTATATTAGATTCACCACAGGAGCATCCAAAAATAACCCGGCTCAGGGCCCATGTCAGAGCCATCAAAAAACCAAAGGCAGAGTTCAAGCCTCTCTAAATGATATTTCTGTCGTGTGCTTTCCAGTGCCTTAGAAAGCCCACCTCCCTACTGTGCCTGAAAACCCCATCCCTGCAGATTTTTCTCTTTACCTTGATGAGCCTGACAGCAGAAGCCAAGGGAGCAGGCAAGGCATCACCCTTAAAAATGCAGGAAGGGGAGGCTGTACATACTGATAACAAATCTTGTCCGTGACCAGAAACTCTCTCCTGCTTTTTGCCCTGGGATTAGACGTTTTACTTCTATGGGGTCCTTAAATTCTTCTAAGCAGAACTTCTCACCTCAATTCCCTACCTGCAAGCCTCAGTATAAAGGTCCACGAACACATTTTTCAGAAACTGGGTGATGTTTTGGATCCCTCCTCCCTGACAATAGACCTTTTGCCCCCACCTGGCTCTAGAATCTCAGACTTGACCCAGGTGTGTTCTTCCCACCTGCTGGGTCTTATACTATTAACCATCCCAGACCTTCTTAATACCCCAAAACTACTGCCAGGACCGTCCCCTGGTGCCCGATGCTAGATTTCTCCCACCTTCCCGTTTCACATGGATCTCTATAAGCTGTATCCCGAGTTCTCTTGGTGCTGCAATTCACTCTGCTGTGCAAGTGGCCCTGGGCTAATGGAGGGAGAGACAGGAGAAGGAACACAGAAACAGCCCACCTTTCACTAGTTACAGTGGCCTGGTCAAGAGGTTTTGTAATAGAACAAAGATAACATACCCTGAGCAACGACCGAAAGAGATCTTCTTTATACTCTCCTCAAACCATGGAGAGCACGTCAAAGCTGATGCTAGGTTATCTCAATCGTTTGAGTCTCCTTAACTACCAGAGCAATTATTGTAAAGTACACACTAAATTTCATTTGTGGGGGGGAAAAAAGAGGATTAATTCCAATTTCTTTAGGTATTAATTATTTCCCTGTGTTGACTTAAGTCCTCATGGGTTAAAAAAAAAAAAAATACCCCTTAGTACTCAGTCTCTGTGGCTGTGAACAATAGTGCCCAGCCATACACATACCTGAGTGCCGATGAGAGGCTAGAGGTCTGTTACAACTGTGCTGCTCTAGAACTCAGAAACAGACCATAAAAATGAAGCTGATGGGACTTCTGGAATTCCTCTCTATGAGCATGTACCATGCATCTTCTCATTCCAGGGCTGGATGGCGGTGATTTCCTGGCAGTGGGCTCGCGTAACGGCAGTGCGGTGCACAGTTAGAACCTGGGATCCGGCCTATCAAGCATCAGCAGCGATCCTCTTGATCTGAGCCTTGGGATTCACACGGTCCATCTAGGGAGGTTCTTCCAAATGGGTTGGCTGAAGGTAAAGAGTTATCCCTTCGCCTGTCCCACAGGCTAACTCAGTGCTACTATATCGTCCGGTCTGTGCTGCGGCACAGAGGCGACAGGCCGCGCTGCCTGGCCCCTCCCCCACCCTGCCCACCGAAGTTCACAGACCAGAGCACAGCGTGGAGGACAAGAGGAATGATTGCAATTAAGTGGTGCAGGAATAAATAAGGGGGGATGACACAAATAAGGTGAGGGAAAGCATTCAGGAAATTCTTCCCCAAACAAGTGATGCGTGATCCTAACTTCAAATAAAGAGCAGTTTAGAAAATAGAACAGTGGCTGGTGTTGGCTTAAGGAATGCAAGTAGTTGGGTTTGGCTTCCAGGTGAGAAGTAAGAGGCATGGTTAGATATAGACAGGGAGGATCTACACCATCAAAGGACTTAGATGTCATACTAAGAAGTTTAGATTTTTATCTAGGGAGTTATGGAGAACAACTGAGAAATTTAAGAAGGGAGGTTGGATACCATGATCCATTTCCATTTTTTGATAAAAGACTCTGGTTGTTGTATTGAGAATGGAAGGAAGAGGAAAGCAAGGCTAGATGGAGGAGGACTGGCAGGATGCTAGCTCCCAAATCTTTGAAGAACTGTGATTTTGACTGAAATGCAAAACCTTGACGGCTACATTAATATATCCATGGTAACAGACACCAGCAGAGAAGCAAGAAATTGAGTGGTAAAATGTTTTTTATTTCTTCAAAATTCAGGTCTTTGTAAATTCCTCATGCCACATTAATAGGAAATAAAAAGTGTATCTTAACAGTTCACCCTGGGGAATTAATTCTTTTTTTAATAGATTCTGAATTTTTTTCCTTTTCAAGGTTGATGATCAGAAACATAAATCCATTACCTCCCCTGGGAAAACTGGTCAGTCTCAATGTCTTCAGCCAGTTTTATGTGAGTGGCTACGGGGAATACACCCTGGATCTCTTGCCAAATGGAGCTGATTTTTAAAATGGCTTTCAAGGTAAGGCATGGATGATTTTTACACTATACCTGCTTGTTTTAAAATTTGAGAAAAGAAAGTACTTTTTAAAAGTATACTTCTAGTATGTAAACCAGCTATGTGGACTGATTTCTAATTGAACCTGCTGAAAATTTGATTTTAATGGAAAGCATTCATTCTCGTTAATCACTTACTACCTATGTGCTAGGTGTTTAGGATGTTTCAGTGAAAAAAAAAAATATTCCCACAGTCATGAGTTTATATTCTAGTTGGTCAAAGGAGGGAAAAGATAATAAACACTTAATATAGTGGTATAAGATGATAAATTCTGTGGAGCAAAAGAAAGGAAAAGTAGAGAGTGATTTTTTTTTTATATAGGGGGCTTTTTAATATAGAGTAAGTAGTGTAGACCTCACGGAGTCACATTAAAAATTGAAATTCCATCCAACTTTAGAATGTACTTAATTTAAAAGATGAGTGACAGACTGCAGCCGACTAATCCACACCACCAAGGTGTGGTCCTGCTCTCAGGGATACATGAGTTAGGGGGACTCTCCTTCCTGAGTTCCGGCCTTGCTCACAAGAGAATTCAGGCAAGAGACAGCATGTATAGTGGAAATGACGTAAGTTTATTTACGAAATACACTTGAGCTAAAAACCACAGGCAGACACCAAGCTAGACTGAATGCCCCACGTGTAGAGGAAATAAAGTTGTTAGTTTTTCCATATACTTGAGCCCAAAGCTGCAAGTGGGCACCCAGCTAATCCGAGTGCCCCAACTATTGACTATCGGGACTCTAGGAGTTAAATACTTTAGTTGGTTTCTAGGTACCCCCTCCTCCTCCCTTTTTCAGACCTTGGGATTAATACAGTTACAAAGGCTTTCTATCCCAGCTAGCTGAAAGGTTCTACACAGAATTTCAAGGGCTCTCCTCTTCCTGTACTATCATAGTTTTGCTTGCGTTGTTTGGAACTCCTGGCAATATTCCTGGACCAGGCTCAGGACTGCTGAATCAATGGGTGAGACACGTCTCGCTTTTGTTTCTAGACTTCTGTTGTAAGCTCTTCATTAGGTTGCACTGGGCCGGAGCCCTGCTTTATTTCCCCTTCAGCCACTCATTCCTGGCTGCTGCCTAACAGTCCCACCAAGGCCACCAGAAGCCAAGAAGATTAAGACCCAACATCATGCTCAGGCAAGCAATCAGATCACCGCAGTCTGTCCCCCCGTGTTCAACAAGAAACATACATTCAGTCTGCCTTATAAAGGTGATTTGTAGTAGAGTTATAAGATGAAATCATGCTTTGAATTGTTATAATAATGAATTTATTGAAAATAAGCTCTTTGGTGGATCCCTCATCCCAGAACATTTGGTTAAGTGGCTACTCATTACAGAGTCCTAAACTGTTCACCCATGACCAGCCTAGCCTCTATCAGGAATCAAGGAAGGGTGACCAGGATGTGATGCATGTCCCGGTGAAACATCAAAAGCCATTTCAGGCACTTGAGTTCTTGGCCTGCCTGGCATCAACCTTCTCCCCATCTTCAATGACTTCTGCCCAAACGCTGGTGCAGAATGCCATGTACCTGAAACATATGAAAACAACATGGCTAATCCAACATGATACAAGGTCAGGTTTTAATAAAATTAGTTCAATGTGCCAAGGCTCTCAAAGAAACTTTTTCTTGAACGTGTAATCAGTGCTGATCCTCAGTGTGAAGAATATTAAGGCACTATGCTAAATATAATCGAGAGCTCAACAGTTCTTTCACAGCAGGAGACAATCTGAAAAGGATTGTAAGGGCATAGCAAATCAATGAGTTTTTAAAAACATTAAACTCAAGGAAACGAATGGGTAAATTTATGAATGTGCAAGCAGCACATCTTCCACTCAATGAAACAGAAACTCCTTGGGGAGTCACCACAACTTGCTGTCATTTCATCGCAGACATGATGCTTACATAAACCCTCTGGATGTAGCACCAAGGAACAGAGTGTGGAATCTGGAACCCAGCTGCCCAGGTCTGCACCTCAGCCCTGCCACCAACCACCTCCATGACCCTGGTTAGTAACCTCCCTGTGCCTCACTGTGCCTCATCTGTAAAACGGGACAATAAGAGCACTTGTCTGGCTTATAGTTCTGAGAGTTGTGGAAAGAGAACACAGGTGTTTCCTGTGATCGCAATCATGGTGGTGCTGGTGGCAGGAGGCGACCCAGCTCTGGTCAGACACTTGCTTCTCTTTCTCTGCTGCACAGACAGCGGGCGAGAGCTCAGGCTCTGCAGCCAGGCTGTCTCCTGACTTGGGCCCTTCTGCCCAGCAGCTGTGTCACATCTGAGCCTTTTACTTAAACTCTCTGAGCCTCCATTTTTTCCTCCATAAAATAAAAAAACCTACCCCAGAGGGCTCTTGTGAGTTAATCAATTAACTACAATAACATTAAGTGCTTAACCCAGAAAGCAGCAGTACATGATAAACACTCAATAAATATTAACTAATATCAGCGTTCCATCCTGTTGGCATTGGACTTGACAGTTTCAAATTTACTGAAGTCCAGTGCTTCTTGGTTTCCTGGTGTTATTTTCTCCCTTTCGTTAGGAACTTTTCTTCACATCTTGACAGTGAGAACAAAGGGAGGCATTCTGCAAAACCTGTCATCTTCTCCTTATGTGCATTAATGAGGCTGAGTTCAGCACACAAACAGCTGGCCCTTCCTGTGAGGGAAACGCTAGGACTGCCGCCATCTGGAAGGAGGCATGTCAGCTGCCGGTCCTGAGTTAGGGTGGAAATCTTGGGAGTGTCTTCTTGGGAACTGCCACTTAATCCACAATCTTCTGAAAGCGCCAGGACCTCAGAACCTCTAATTTTATCATTTGTCTCTTAGATTCTCACTTCATGTCTGCCTCTCCTCCATTATAAACTAGCATTTACTATATGCTGCAAATTATGGACAATTATTATCAACCTACCATAAAGAGCCTATTGCAACTATACCATAAACCTATGATTCCCCAAAACTGACCTTTATTGGCTCCAGAGAATGAGAGTGACTGCTTTAAAATACAAATTTCTGAACTCTACCCCAGAACTACTATGATGATGCCTAAAAATTTGCATTTCAGAAAGCCTTTCCAGATTTGGAAATCACTGCATTAGTTAATTATGTCAAAGAAAATAGAGTTGTGGAAGAATTTAATAATTAGTCTTGCCTTAGCCTAATTATTAAATTCTGACATCACTAAAATATATAAATAAGGCCTAATTATTGTTCTTTAGAATGGGGATTAAATCATACGCAATATCTGATTTAAGCTTTCACATTTCTATAAACACGCCTGATAAATCACTCTAATGCAGAATTTCTCAGTCTAAAATACAAATCCCCAAAGTTGTATCTATTACAAAGGTACAGTGTTCTCAGGTTGAGGGTCATTGATGGGCTATAGTGGGTTCCTGAGTCACCTGAAATCATGCGTGCGGTTGTGTGTGCCTATGCACATTTTTCTAGGAGAAAGTCCATAGCTTTCATTAATGTTCTAAGATCTTCTACTTTAACTGACAGACCTAATTAATCCTGATATAGAATTAAAAACTACTTTTGACTAGTGTGAACTTGGGGAAATCTATTACCCCATCTATCTGTGATTCTAGTGCTACAGAAACTAGTGTTCATTGATACAGGAATTATTAAATATTTATTACTCAGCTGAAACAGTGGACATAAATAGACTCAGATTCATTAACAACACTGTTAAGATGTGTTATTCCATCCCGTGAGTGCCCTGCACTGTCAGTACAGTCAATTTCTTGCTAGTTCAACTTTTCTCTCTCATTTTTTTAATTGTATAAGATTTTTCAAAACAGAGTCCATAAGGAGAAAAATGATTTGACTGTAATAATTTAAATATTCTTTTACTGTCAAAGAAAAGAAAAAAAGCAGCCATGCTTATTTGGGATGTAGTCAGTCTGACTTTCCAATATATACATGGCTCATGGCTCTGAAAGTCTTTATTGTAACTACCATACCACATGCAAGATATATGTATTGAATACCTGTTGCATGGTGCTATACTAAGCAGATTACATTTTATCTGCTATATTAATAGAAGTGAAATTATACAATATACATTCTACAAATGGCTTCCACTATAATTGCCTTTAAATGGGTAATATGTTGACTGATAGGAAGCATTTCTCTAAAATAAATACATATAACTATTTGGATTTGCTAAATGTTTCTCTAAATATATAATCGCCACATTTTTAGTCAAAAACATGTTTCAGCAGTTCCTCATAACAAGTCTTTCTTATCCATATAAAAGAGAAGAAGTTTAAAATGAGCAGCTTCAGACATTAATACATTTGGCAGTTTTTTTGGTCCACAATTGTAAAAACTACAAAAACCTAGTAATAGTATCCTACAATTTTTTGTTAAAAAGAATTTTTTGTAAATAAAATAAAGGATTTCTACCCTGACCAGTGTGGTTCAGTGGATTGTGCATTGTCCTGCAAAGCAAAACGTCACTGGTTCAATTCCCAGTCAGGGCACATGCCTGGGTTGCGGCTTTGGTCTCAGTGGGTGCATCTGCAAGAGGCATCCAATCGATGTTTCTCTCTCACATGGATGTTTCTCTCCCTCCCTTTCTCCTTCCCTTCCCCTCTCTCTAAAAATAAAATCCCTAAAATCTTTTTTAAAAAAGAGGATTTCTGAGGGAGCGTGGGAGAGGGTGGGGGTGGGAGGGTGAGATACAAGATCCAACTGCCAAGCACTATAACTGGCCAGTTTACAAATGTTATCTTTTTCCTCTTAACGCATGGAGTATTTTTGTCACCATTTTAAAGGTGAAAAGACTGCCACTCAGTTAGATTTGGGTCATCTAGCCATTATGTGGGAGAGACTGTAATTGAAGCCAGACCCACTTGACTTCAATCCTCTTTCGCTCTTTGTTGAGTACATTTCACTCTGTAGAAGGTAGGGAAAACGCCGCCGTGTTAGTTGAGCCACCTTGTTATTCAGTATAAAGTAGCTAGCATGCATTCATTTCTTCATTCAGTATACCACTCAGTGCTTTTTTGTGCAATAGCGATGGTAGTACTTGGGAGATGAACAAAGATGAAATCTAAGAAAGAAAATTACAGGTCTCTTCTAGTGAGAAAATACTGATGCATGCTTTAAGAATGGTGCTTGTTAGTGAGAACTAGGTTGAAAAGTAAACTCTTGACCTCTCAAAATGTAAACCATTTTTCTTCACCATGAGGAATTATTCCACACTTTTAGCTTCAAAAGGTGTTTTCTAAATAAAATCCAATCTAGCCTGTCTTTTATTATTTTCAAGGCTCTATTTATGGTTGATGACCATATTGATTTGAAAGTACATTGTAAAGAAACTGAGTAAGTGCTGAAGGAAATAAGTAAAATTATATTTCAGTATCCTAAACAATTCCATAAGTTATTCATTGAACTGCACTTTTTGTTTATATTTATTTAATGTTGGGGGAGAAAAGATCCTTTTTCCAAATTTATTGAGATATACTTGACAAATAAAAATTATATATATTTAATATGTACAACGTGATGATTTGGTATACATAGATATTATGAAAAGAATACCACAATCAACTTAATTAACACATTTATCACCAAACATAGTCAGTTTTCTGTGTGTGTCTCTGGTGAATACATTTCAGATCTACTTTCCTGACAAATTTCAAGTATACAATACAGTATTGTTAACTATACTCACATGCTGTGCATTAGATACCCAGAACTTATTCATCTTTTAACTGCAAGTTTGTACCCTTTGACCAACGTCTCCCCATTTCTCCCACACTCCAGCCCCTGACAACCACCATTCTACTCTGCTTCTATGGGGTCAACTTTTTTAGATTCCAGGTAAAAATGAGGTCATACACTATGTGTCTTTAAAAGACCTTTCTAAGGGAAAATGCAAAATCTCTGGAGAAAAAATAAGATAAATGTGGCAATATATTATAAACTTCTCCATGTAAAAATAAAAACTTCACCATAAGCAAAATTAAATAGCAAGTATTAAACTGGAGAAAGTACTTACAGTATACAAAAAACAGCTAACATGCTCATTATATAAAGATGTCTTTCAAATAAATATTTAAAAGGGTGAATAGAGAAAAACAGTACATAATAAGCAATCAAAAAGTTACAAATAACTAATAAATCTTTAAAAGATGTTAAGCCACAATTAAAAATAGTAAAACAAAAAAAGTATGTATTTTATGGTTTATTTCATTTAAAGATGAAACAGCCCTGGCCAGGTGGTTCAGTTGGTTGGAGCATCAGCCCATACACTAAAGGTAAGCAGGTTCGATTCCAGTCAGGGCACATACTTAGGTAGCAGGTTTGTTCCTGGTTGGGGCATGTATGGGAGACAACTGATCGATGTTTCTCTTTCACGTTGATGTTTCTCTCTCCTCATCCCTGCCTTCCTCTCTCTAAAATCTATAAACATATCTTCGGATGAGGATTTTTTAAAAAAGAAACAGATAGTAATCTCTTAAATTGAGGTGCCTGTGAAGTGGGTATCCCAGTACAGTGTGGGGGAGACATAATTGTGCAAAATATCTATGACACTTGGGCACACCTCAAAGCATTCATATATTTTTTCCCTGGTAGTTTTACTTCTAGAAATTTATACTAAGACAATAATTAGCAATGCACAAAAATATACATACAATAACATTTATTATAGCATTATTTCTAATAACAAAAAGATAAAAATTAGTCAGTTGCCCAATAATTGAAAGTTAATTAAATACATTATGATAAGAGAATATTACACCTTCATTCAAAAATAGTTAATGCGATAAGAGTTAATGGGTAAGCCATACAAATTTTTGGTATACTACTACATATTATATAGTTTAATAAGAACTCTACTTCTGTTTTTAAAAAAATACAGCTAAGCATAGAAAAATTTGCTTTATTTTCACATATTGTTGTTTTTATATATTTTATTCTTTTCTTAAAATTGACATGATTACTTTGTTAAAATGTTACTTTAAAAAAAAGAAAACAACTGTCTTCCTGTTTTATTATTTCTTCCATTTTTTACATGAAGTATTTTTCCCTTTTTCAAGGTTGCATTTTCACTATTCAAATTCGCCCTAGGAAGGATGGCCATTTCAGAAGGCTGGGAAATGCTGAGGGCCCCCAAATGCTGGGCACAGCGTTGGCCAGTGTGATGCTTCTCCTTGTAGTTTAATGATCTGTGACAATGGTGGGACATGCAGAGACAGTGGATCTACTGTTGAGTAAGTATGACATTAGGAGGGAAGGTAGCAGGTGATTCGCATTCTAACTGGTATTCACTCATACAAACTAGGAACACAAACTGACCCTCATGTTTTAAATGTTTTCATGTAGACTCGCTAGACAACTGGAGGACAGATAAAGGCAACTAAGAAGGATCAACACAGCAGTTACGCCATCTTCTCAATTCTTTTAAACAGTGGAAATGAGTGACTACCTCATTCCAGTCACCATTGAAAAATATATCTTAAATTCACAGTCTTGAGAGTGGTACCAGAAATGTTAGTCATACATATTGATATTTCCTTTCCTGTTCAGGTTTGAGCTCCTTTAGAAAGGGCCCTCCTGTCTAGGTGGAGCCAAGCAAAGTGCCCCAATTTAACTTCTGAACTACTTTAGTGAGAAACACAAACATAAACATGTTGAGTGGGAAGAAAAGAGCAAAGGAAAGGTTGTCAACTACTTTTGTTGAGCATCTCCTCTGTGCATAAGTAGTATTTGAAGGGCTCTAGGCATTAGCTTTACCATGATGATTTTATCTTCACTGTTTTACAATTTTTTTTTTTTTTTAGTTTAATGTACTTTAATAGCAAACTTACAGGAACAGCACAGAAGACAGTCAACATTAAAAACATGTACTTGAACACTGACCAATGTGGCTCAGTTGGTTGGGCGTTGTCTCGCAGAGTGAAAGGTCATCAGTTCAATTTCCAGTCAGGGCATGTACCTGGGTTGCAGGTTCGGTCCCTGTCAGGGTGCATAAGAGAGGCACCTGATCAATGTTCATTGATGCTCCTCTCCTCTCTTTCTTTCTCCTTTCTCCTCTCTCTAAAAATAAATAAATAAATAAATTTTAAAAAATATATACTTGCATGTGGGACAATTGTTTTTCAATCTTCACTTGAGGACATTTTTTCATTGCTGAGAGAGAGAGAGAGTGAGAGACACTAATGTGAGAAAGAAACATGGATTAGCTGTCTTCTCTTACTGCCCTGACCAGAGATCGAACCTGCAAACTTTCAGTCCAGCGGACAACGCTCTGACCAATTGAGCCATACCAGCCAAGGCCACACTATAATTTTTAATGAAACCTTTAGTTTGCTTTACAAATTATGCATTATCATTTGCTCTCCAACTAAGCTTAATTATATTTAGAGGTATAAATTTACCTCACCTTATCTAAAATAATGTGGCCATTCTTCAGGCGACTTACTAGGTGTTTTTGTTTTGTTTGTGTATTTTAAATGAGATAATAAATAAACTGATAGTAATAAAGAATGCAATCATAAAAAGATAGGAAGTGCCAGTAAGAAAGTTAAGGTGAATATGCAGGTAGGAAATTCATCCTAACTCCTCAATATTCCATATGGAACACAGGGCTTGTTCCAGCATAAGAGCCATGTGTGTTAATCTTGGAATACACTGGAATACATAGTGCCGCATATAGATAGACACAATTAAGTGAAGATTATTTTGATCACCATAAAAAGTTTACTTGGTTTGTGATAATAAAAGTAATATCTTACAGCACTTTGTAGCCAACAAAGCATTTTTTATATACATTATTTTCATTGCCCCTGATTAAAACTTTCTAAATTAGTCAGGGACTATCCTAGCCCTGATTTAACGCATGGGAAACTAAACCCAGGAGATTATGATTAAACAAGAGGATGTACCAGCATCTTGTAAGAGGTGCCACAAGACTCAAAACCAACCTGGATCAACATTCTCTCAGGACCTAAATAGTAAGAAATGAATTTAAAAGCAGTTAACAACTTAGATGACAAGTGTTAGTACTCCTTATCTGCTGGATGTAATCTATTCATTTATTCTTAATTTTTAAAAAATATTGGTGTGCCCTGGATGGAGGAGCTCAGTGTATTGAGCGCCTGCCTGTGAACAGAAAGGTTGCTGGTCTGGCTTCATGTCACCACACGTGTCTGGGTTGTGGGCCACGTCCCCAGTAGGGGCATGCAGAGAAAACGGATCAATATTTCGTACATCAATGTTTCTTCTCCTCTTTGTCCCTCCCTTCCCCTCTCTCTAAAAAATAAATAATCTTGTTTTAAAAAAAGTTGACATTATCTTCAATTGGCACTTCATATTTTTTCCAAATTGGAAGTACATTGCCTCGTAACACATCCCCTGGGGATTTCATAAATTCCCGTGCAGGTGGAAAGCTGTATCTCATAGACCACCATGAGAGCTTCTATTCGAATAACAAATAAGCCTGAGTAATAGGACAGATACCTCTGACAACTTTTTTAGATGGGATTCTAAAATCTTTCTTAACAAATTGTGACCAATGTTTGGGATCCTCTTATTGACGTAACAACAAAGTATTTATTATATCAGTGATATGTGGAGCATTCCGGCTGAATGAGAGGTAGCTCTTGTGACTTATATGACATTAAAATTATGGTTCCCTGAACTAAGGGGTGGATTTTATGGTATGTAAGTTACACTCAATAATGCTGTTTCAAATATTTAGGTTCCCATTCATGACCATTCAACTTCAGTAGCAGCCTAAGTTTAAGGAGAATTATACTTTCCAATAACGTTCAAGAAGTTTTCTTCTACCCTTGTCCCAGTCTTTCAATATAGCTCCACAATTTTATTATGCACCTGAATCAGAGGGTAATATTAAACTGAATTTCCAGGTAACATAACCTATGGCTCGAAGCTAAAGTTCAATCTGTTTTTGAAAAAGAGCATATAATAAAATGCTGTAAATGCTCAAGAAGCAAGTCCCAACCTAGAAGCATAAATGTCATGGTGTTCAGAATCAATTTTAAAAACACAAAATCTCAAAGCCACTCAAAGTGTCTTAACAGTTTAATACTATTTAAAAAGAATTATGAACTATAAGTGCTCACTTTACTTCCACTCCTCACAGCTGGAGGCGGAAGGCATTGTTTTGGTACAGGAGTCTGTGCTAAGGAAGGAGGGAAGTAAGACTTGATAAGGCTTGGACCCAGGGCTGGGCTGCTGGAAACTGCTAAAAGCCTTGCTTTCCTGCTCCAGGGACATCAGTTAGCAAACCCAGATCCAGCTGCGCTCTAATGCAATTTCTCAAATGAGAGCATAATAAAGCAGAGTTCATGTAAGGCCTTTATGCTCCTGGGATGAGCTCTGATGCAACAGAGAAACAGTAAACTATTTCTGCTGTTAGTAGCCTAGGTTTAAAAAAAAAAAAAAAGAGGTTTGTTTAGTTCCAACTTAGCTCTGTATGTACATTTGTTTGGTACAAAGTGTTCAAAGTGTTTTTTAAGCAAATTTGACTTCATTCAAGTTGTTTTTTGTTTGACTTTAATGTGATATCCTGACTGTGATTGAGGGTGATAGGCAACAGATTCCTTTAAAAAAAACATGGTATAGGAAAACCAAGTTACAAAAACAGAGGTAACAATAAGCAGTACAGAGAGAAAGCCCAGCAGGAGTTCAGAGAATGTGGATGTAAAATAGGAAATGCATCAGAGAATTATACTAAGTTCATAAATGAGGCTTATTCACAACATAAATCTATCCTTGAGCACAAAAATTTCACTGATCCAGAGTTTCCCAAATATTTTTTGGCTCACAGAGTATCTTCAAGAATCAGGTGAAATTTCAGTCAAAGACCTTTCCAAAATTAATGCAGATGCCCAGAGAAAAGTGTATGTTCTCAAAGCCTTCTATGTACCATGTATACCTAAAAATGACAATCAATTTCTTTGATTTTTGCAAATGAGCAAAGTCACTCACACTTTAAGATAGATCAGACTGTTTACATTGGAAGGGGCGGGGGAAGTTGTGTGAAAGATAGGATACTCAGTATTGTTGTTGGGTTTTCCCCACCAAAGGGAAGGTTTACTGTAGGGAGGTCATTCCAACACTACAGTAAATACATGGCCACCCCACCCCATCTCTGTATTCTTCTCATTGCTTCATTTTGCTCCCACTGACTCTCTAGGTTAGAAAAAACCTAATTTATCTCCTGTTCTCAGGCAAAAGCAATTCAATTACTCTTTTTTTTTTTTTTTGTAGTCCAGGCTCATGCTCACCATCCACAACAAGCAGCTGTCTAACTAATTCCCCCAAACATCTCCCTCTCTAAGAGGGATTGAATCCAATTGTTAGCATAATACAATGTTTTGTCCCTTAACCTAGACAACAGAACCATTTGGACAGAGGTCCACAGACGAGTGCCAATACTTTTATTATCAGGTATAATTTCATCTCATACTTCTTATACTTTCTGAGATATCATCAAAGAAAGGAAGGCCACGGAGAAACATGTGCAAGTGGAGTGATTACAGCAACCCTTCCTTGAAAGCATGTCGAGTCTTGACACGGCATCACATTCCAGAGTACCCTAAAGTTCACTCATTCTAGCACTTGTTTGTGTATTTTTCAAAGGCTCGATTTTTTAGTGTGTCATTTGACATCTAGTAAATTTTGACAGGTAAAATGATATCCATCATATCACACTTACCACCTTCTCCTAACTTGTTACTCAAACAGAAATAAATCATAAAGAAAAGCAATTTGACATGAATGAGGCCTTCCAATACAACAAAGTTTTAGGAGAAGGAGATTCAGCAATGTTTCCTTTTTCCTATAAATAGCAGAGAAGTAAGTTATATATGCAGAAGTGGAGTCCTTTAGGTAATGTGATCATCTCTTATTAAGTAACACATATCTATTCCATTATTCATATGACTTTATTATCAAAGCACATAGATTTCATTTTAAGTACTATATCTGTGCTTTTGCTTATTCATATAAAACCCACAAATCTGTTACCATAGCTTTCTTACAGATTCAGCTCAATAAATTTTCTGCAAGAATTTTCTTTTTCTGCTCTCATCACACAGTGAGGATTTGAATACTTTACCCTAATTAGCCTCAATACATATAAAAGAATCTCTCTGATTTAAAACAATAAGAATATATATTTGATAGCTTTACTGAAAAAAGTAGGTTAAGCAGAGATTTTTTTTTAAGTCACAGTTTTTCATCTGCCCACTGAAGACTAATAATTGTAGAGTTATTGTAGGCATTTAATGAGTTACTACATATAAAGTACTTAAAACAGTGCCTGGCACCAACATGAGGTCCTAATAAATATTGACTATCATACAAATACATTGTTATTAAAAAACTACCTCAAAATCCCTGGGGGCAAAACTCTGTTTTCTGTTTTGTATTCACCCTGGTGACAAAGTGGAATTGTACACCATCACCCTCTTTATGGTGAATATTAAGTAAGCAAAAGAATGATATTCAAGTGATACTCAAACAAAGAACATTAAATCTTCCATCATCTCATTTTCAGTTAATTTTTATATATCCATGCTTATCCTAATCTTGAGAAGTCTTCAAATTGGTTAATTAAAAGAAAATTACATTCTTCATGTTGAATATCTGTTGTAATGAGAAAAATTAATCCATAGATGTTTTCTGAGCTATAAAATTGACAATAAAAAGCAAACGATTTATCTGCAATTTAAGAATTTACTGTATTTTTCTGTGTATAATGTGCACCCATGTTTTTGCGAGCATTATACATCAGATCATATAATCATTATACCCATGTATAATACACATCCTTATTTTTCCCTCAAGATTTGGGCAAAAAAGTCCACATTATACACAGAAGAACATGGTAAAACCGTTTCATTCTAAGTGCACAGATGTAAAATAATGAACTGTCTTAGTAAAAACATACTCCAGTATTTAACTCTCGATTGCTGTTATGACCAACTGTTACTCAAAATGTCTGACGTTTTCTTCAGTGTTCTTGCTCTATGTTTAGAGGCAGAAGAATGCACAAATTATTCTTTATATATTGACAATTTTGGATAGCTAACATTTTTAATGGACATGAGGTGAGAAAATAGTTCTATGTGTAATGTCAGTGATTGCTCAGTATCTTTTGAATGTTCTTAGCTATTATAGAGTAAATGCTCCAGCTTTTTGCCTGCTATGCTACTTCACTCACCCAAAAAGGGCTCTATAATCACCTCTCACCTCTGACTCAGTGGTCCTCTCTAAATACCCTTTTCTCACTAATGGCACCACATTCTTTCAGTCATTTAATTCTGAACCCCCCCCCAAAAAAATCCTGAAACTCCCAAAAACTTCCATGAGATTGAGAAACATGGAATGGCAGTTGACATGTGCACTCCTTCCCCTCTAATTTGCTTAACTTTTCTGTCCCTCATGCTCTTCCTCTGCAAAATGAGGATTCTAAACATGCCCTCCTAATAGGGTCATAAGGAGGATTCAGTGAGTAAATATGTTTAAAGTGCTGAGAAGAGTGCCTGGTACACGTTAAGCCTCGGTAAACACTCGCCTTTACTATCATCTTTCATCTTCCGCACCAACACATTTACCAGATGCCTCTCACGTCTACTGCAACCTTTGCATCCTCAAAGCCATTTCTCAGTGCAGGCCTCTGCATTCACCCACTTCCTTATCCTAGTCATGACTTCTTTATTTACTTACTTATTTATTCCCAAGATATCCAGTGAAAAATTACAATAGTCCAGGATCCGTTTTAGCCCTGGGACTACAATAGATAGTAAAGCAGACCTAATCTCTGCTGCCGTGGAATTAATTAATTAATTAGTACCGTGGAAGTAATGATCCAGTGCAGAGGTCAGCAAGCTATGTCTTGTGGGCCAAATCTGGCCCACCACCTGCTGCTGTACATACAGTTTTATCGGGACATAGCCACACCCAATTGTTTGTGGATTGTCTGTGGCTGCTTTCAATGGAGGCAGAGTTATTAAAAAAAAAAAAAAAGCCTTTATGGCTCTTAATGTAAACTATAAACTGTCAAAGTTTACCAACCCCTGCTCTAGTGGTAAAGATATAGTAAGACCCCACCAAAATTGAATTTACATCACTAGAGACTTTATTGTTACATTATGGAGTCATCTCATACATACCAAATTTATATTCTTAAAATATGCCACGTCCTTCACATTATTCCCAATACGTCTGTCACTTAAAAAGTTATCCTATCTCTGCTTGTTATTCAAAGCCCTTAAACTCTGGTTTCCTTTTCCAACGTAATCTTCTACTGCTCTTCACTCTTGACGCACTCGCTCATGTAGGCAAAGCTCACTGCCGAAGCCTTCCCTGACTCACTAAAATTGCTTGGGCACCCATCCTATGGGCTCCCATAGTACTCATCTGCACTTGTACCATTGTATTACCCTTGTCTGCTTACTAATCGGATATCCCCCAAAACAGCAACTTCATGAGACCAAAAATGAGGTCTTATGTGTTGTGGAATCCTCAGTGCTGTGTACAGTGACAGACACTTAGCATGTAACAATATATGGGGGTGGGGGGGAGTAGGTTTGCAGTTGTTTGTGTGGAAAATAATGCAATAATTAATAAATAATAATACAAGAATAAACTTTGTGTTTCATTTACTCACAACTGTAATCCTATTTTAGCCCCACCTTGTATATAAATATATTCTTTGAATGAATGCATATCTATCTCTATTTTTTCCCCTACTTTTTCCACTTTGTGGACACCCCACCTCATACATATCCTTCTCCAAAACCTACTCTTTGTCCAGACAGAAGAGTGTATATGTGATTAAGGGAAGATATGTTAATGAATTAATTTCAAGGGGTAAAAAAATGTTGATACCCAAAATGGAAAATAACAAAAAATGATTTAAGACTTTTTATTATCTGCATTTCATAGGGTTCTAAAGAAGCCAGGAAGAAAAGAAAAAGAAAAACCTGAGTTTGCACAAAATCGTTCAAATGAAAATCTCCCTTAAAATATAATGTAAGGAAGTAGTACATGATATTTGAAAGTGATTTTTAAGTGATTTTTAAAATCTTTGTAGACATAGCTAATTGCTTTAGACCAAAAATTCTTAGAGGAATTGTATGAGGATTTATTTTATTTAAGATGCTATTTTTCAAATAAGTTTATGGCATCTATATTATATATTATGCTTAATGTGATTTATGCTATATTTAACATAAAAATAAGTACTTTACCATTGTCATTTCTATCTATAATGCAATAAGATTTTTTTTGTTCTTTTTTTTTTTTTTCCAAGTAGATAACAACAAGCCACTAGATGGTGCAATCATCATTAAAAAAGTAATCCCATTAGAATTTTATTTTTATATAAAAATTCTTTAATATGTGTTATATGGTTTTATTTATTTTATGAAATTGGTAAGACAGTCTATTTTGTATAAAAGGTCTTTATATATTTTATATTTTGTGATTGTCAAACAATAATCAAAATCATGAAATTTTGAGGCAGGTTAATTTTGTATTTTGTTTTTCTCCATTGTGTTTTGTTTTTCTCCAAGGAAAACCCCGTACAACTTTTTCAAACTTTTATTTGCACAACTGTTAACTTAGGTACAATAAGCATAGACATTTTCTTTCATCATGACCCATATAAACACCCTATTTAATGAAATGACAATATCTTCAGAGATTTTTGTTTGCTTGTTACCATATTGTGTTTGTGCTTATGCTTCTATCTGTAAGTTCCAGACAGATAAGAACTTTAATTTTAAAATCCTCCTACAATCATAGTCTAGCAGTGCATTGGTGAACATGTGGTACGATGCTAATTGTATTCCCTTCCTCTGAGTTATTCCCCACAATGGCTGCTGGGTTCTGGCCACACCTCTCCATGCCTCTCACTGGGCCCCTGAGCTTACGCAGTCCAGCGGTGCTGTACCCAGCACACTCCATCTCAGCCGGACCAGAGCTCATGCCTTACACATCTTCTGCCCATCCTGTATGAGCTAAGATAGTGCTATGCACATAGCAAACACAAAAACAACAACAATAATAATAATGTTGTGGTGAAGCGTAAATTTTATTAGACTGCTCAATACTAAGTAAAATATGGGAATTTGAAATCAATGTGTGTTTTTTTAATCCTCACCCAAGGATATATTTATTGATTCTAGGGAGATAGGAAGGGAGAGAGAGAGAGAGAGAGAAACATCGATGTGAGAGAGAACATCGATCGGTTGCCTCTTATATGAGCCCCTACAGGGGACCAAACCTGTAACCTAGGTATGTGCTCTGACCGAAGATCAAACCTACAGCCTTTTGGTGTGAGAGCTGATGTTCCAACCAACTGAGCAATCTGGCCAGGGATAAAATCAATATGTTCTTGATAAATGTGTGTAGGCAGACACTAAATCATTTTTATTTTAATAAATAATTATTAGGTCAATAAAGAGCAAGAAGCCTATAAAATGTTCCATATTTTCTATTATATGCACATCTATATTTTCAGGAGCATTCTTACTCACTGGGGATGGGAATGTAAATTGGTATGATTATTATGGAGGGCAGGTTGGAATATGTTTCCAAAGTCTAGAAGTCATGATTATATTTGAATATATTCCAAGGAAATGATTATAGAGCACAAAGATTTAGCTACAAGAGTTTTATCACAGTGTTATTTGTAGAATGTGAAAATTTTAAAACACGTCTCAAAAGTGACAGCGAAACTAAAGTTATATTTCACCCATTCAATGAAATAATATTCCACTGTTACACTCAAAGTTGTGGAAAGGAAGTTAATGAGCACTGAAAGATGTTTTCAAATAGTATTCTTTATTTTTTTAAATGTTATTTATAAGGAGTTTCTGTTTGTACAACTATGTGGAATTATATAACCTGAACGATCTTCCCAAATGAAAATATTCAAATCTGAATAAAATATAAAATGCATATTTTCATAACAGTTACCTAAAGTGAAAACAACACATTATAATGCCCAAATGGAATGAAAGCAAGACCCTAGAAAGTTAGTGTCAAAGTTGGCTTTAGCCCTGAGTTCCTGCTAAGACCTGGAGACTGTGAAGGGCCACATGGGTTACAATGGACCAGACCTACCTACGGCTAAGGACTGCCCCAGAGAGGGAGATCACACAGGAGATGCCTACAGACCTGGGACCCCTAAGAGCCACACACTCATGTAAATGTAATTAAAAAACAAACCCCATTTTACTCCCAGAAAAATCAGGAAATTTGCCTATGTTGCTCTTGGGATTAGTTGACAGAAAAAGATGTAGAAGAGCAAAAGGCTAAGAATAGTCAAGACACTTCTGGAAAGAAAAACAAGATTGTAGAACTTGCCACCCTAGATATCAACACATGTTATTAAGCTGGAGAAATTAAGACACTGTTATATTGACACAAGGATAGACCAACAGGCGAATGAACAGGACAGAGAGGCACAGGACCATGCATAAAAGGACATGGCTCATCAGTGGAAAAGGATGAACTGTTGAAGAAAGAATGATAGGACTATTGGTTATCCAGATGGAAAATTGTAATCCCATCGCTACCCCTTCCAATCACAAAAAGTAATTTCAGGTATATGAAGACTTAAATGTAAAACAAAAAATTTATAATAGTTTTAGGAGACAACATATTGATAAAATACCTTTCCAACTTTGGAATAGGGAAATATTTATTAAATAAGTCACAAAATATGCAAACTATAAAGGTTAAAACATTGAGATTTCAACTATACAAAAGAACATGAATTTTTCTCATCAAGTTATAGAGTACTGACAAATAATGCAACAGCTACATGTATCAACGTGGGTGAACCTAAAAAAACATAATCCTGAGTGAAAGCCAGTAATTGAAGAATATATACAATATCATTACATTTATATGAAATTTAAAAATAGGTAAAACTGAACACTTCATTTACTTCTAAGGGTTTTGTGTTTTCAGGTCTTTATTTCATTTCCAGATGTTTGTGAGTAGTGTAAAATAGGGGTCTAATTTCATTCTTTTACATGTGAATATCTAATTTTCCCAGCAGTTTTATTTTTATTTATTTATAACTTTTTTATCCCCACCCGAAGACATATTTTTTTTCATTGCTTTTAGAGGAATACTGATGAAAGAGAGAAGCATCAATTGGTTGACTCCTGCACATGCCCCAACCAGGGACTGAACCCACAACCTAGGTATGTGCCCTGATTGGGAATCAAACTTGCAGACCTTTAGGTTAGGGGACAATGCTCCAACCACCTGAGCCACACCAGCCAGGGCAATTTTTTCCAGCATTTTTAATGTTAAATTTGCTTAGTGAAAGTAGTAGAAAGATACATGCTAAGTGCTAAAAAAAAGTAAGTCTTGCCATGGTCTTTTGTTTAATCTCAATTTTATGAAACTCTTATCTCTTGTTCCTATACAATGATCAAGACAGTTAATGATGGTTGCAGGGTGTTCATTGTCCTTACCTTCTCCTCTACATGGCTTATAACAGGTCATACAGATTGACCCACCTAGTGGACACTGTATGAGCTGCCTTTAATCTCTAGAACCTGTGAGAATTCTTTCAACCTAAAGAAAAAAAAAGACAAAAAGCAAGATTAAAGAGACTTCCGTTTGCTACCTGCTTTATCTTCGCTTGTTCACCTGAGAAATTGTACTATTGGTGATGCTTTTTAACTGCCCAGGGTTGTTAGTGTCATCTATGTCTTCATTTTACCAGTAAGCAAGGACCATCGTAATGAACTGGGAGCAAGTGACTGTGACCCAAGAGGCGTGGATGTATGTACTCATAAAGTGATTTGCTTTGGTTTCTCACCCTCTTTTTATGCCTGCTTAGGAGGAGTCATGCTTTGCTTAGCCCTAGATTAAAACATGGGGAACTCAGTTGAATTTTCTGCTTTGACTCCATTAATAAACACTTTAATTCACAAATACACTTTCAGTTCATTCATTGAAAGGATCTACTTCAAAATGTTAACAACACTCTACCCTTCAAGACTAAATCTAGCCAGGGCTTATGGCACGAATGGGAAGTCTCTGAAGGAGGTGTAAACGATCTGCTGCTTCTCTCTCTCCAGCCTAGTGGTTCCTGACTCTGTACCACACACCACATCCTGGAATGGGCTTCCTTTACTCAGACTGTTGTCTGATGTTTTAGTGCTCTCTGGGCCTGGTGAGTATTTAAATCTAACCCTTCCTTTTATGTGCTCTAGTGTAGGGTGGCCAGATTTAGGGGGAAAATACAGGACACTTAAGATAAATTTGAATTCCAGATAAATAACAATTTTTAGTATATGTCAAACATTGCTTATTTCAAAATCAAATGTTGCATAGGACATACTTATACTAAAAGTTTATTCATTGTTTATCTGACATTTAAATTTCCTTAGGTGTCCCGCATTTCGTCCAGCAATTCTACCTGTAGTGAGTCCATCAGAGGCTCCCCTGTTGGGCTCCTCCCACGATCACTCTCTCAACCCAGACAGGGTCTCTCTTCAAACTGGGTTCTCCCCTTTACCTCTCAGATTCTGCCCCAGTAACTAACTGACTGCCTTGACTGCCAAGTTCTCTTCAGCTACCGGATTACCCTCTGGGTAAGATCCCTTTCTTATGTGCCCAAATCCAAACTCAGAGGGCCACAATTCATCCCGGGGATTTGCTAGCATGTGCCTCATATCTGGAAGGGTTTGCAGTTTCTTCTGCAGCCCAGGGCCTGGGCCTGGGTGTTCATCAATGGCACAGAACGTACATCAAGACTTAACAAACAGCAACTCAATTCACAGCCTTCCTCCTTGGTGGTACTGTGGGACGAGGAGAAGAGCTTACAATGCTGTTTTGTCCAAAGAAATCATTCTTGTAAAATTCCCTTTCAATTTTGGTGTCCTGAACCTTTTTAAATCCGTGATGTGGATAAAGTCCAGTAATCTCATAACCAGTTATTAGTTCTTTTCTTTGACAGTTTGGATCTTGGTAATTTGAATCACAACTCACTTTGATAATCTTGGAACCTCAGTCAAAGCTGCCAACATCAGGGCAATTGATACACCTGTATATATCTGTCTCTACTCAAGTGCTCAAGTCACATTGCCTTTTTTTCAACATATACCTGTCCCACTGGGTGGAAAGGAGCTTTCTGCACTGAGACAGTTTCCAGCTGTGACCCTGAACATGACCCTCCACACCAGTACAGCAAAGGAGCAACTTATGTCTCACTGCCTCATGGATACACCTATTACTCTCCTCTAGGAACCACTGGAGTCTACTGTGAACAGATGAGGCAGAACTTCAACTAATGCTGTCTACAAATTTAAGTCAGTTTCCTTTTGGGAAAGTAAAATGAAAGACGAGGTCTGTCCCGAAGGTATCCAGACATGTAATATGAAAAATAGAGCCATTTATTGAAGAAGATACAAGAAATATTGTACATAGGACAACAATGACGCCTCAGTCCCTTCAAAGTAGACACCCTGGGACCTCACACAGTTCTCCCAACTGCCATCAGCTACTCTGTCATATCTTCTTGACTCTCATCAATGGTCTGAAATCTCTTCCATTTTGAAGGTGATTTTAGTTTCAAGAAAAGCCAGAAGTCACAAGGCGCCAAATCTGGGCTGTAGGGGGCGCTGAGTCACCTGGGTGATTTGATGGTTTGCCCAGAAACTCTGCATGAGATGTGATGCATGAGCAAGCATGTCACAGTGATGTTGCCAATCACCAGGTGCCCATAGCTGCGGCCTTCTGAATCATCCATATAGTTTCCACAGAGGAATGTTCAAGCTTAACGCAAAATTTGATGCAGATTTGTTGCTCTACTCACTCGGTCATTTTGAATGTGATGACAACACAGTACACATGCTAACTCAATGGCATCTACCACCCCCACTGACTAGTACAGTGAAGTTGTCATTGTTCACACATGACCATTCCAGTCCACTTTCCATGCTGCCAGGTTACATGGATGTCATGCAAACTGTTCTCATTAACAATGGCTGGACTTTTTCTGGACAGACTCCATACACACACACACACACACACACACACACATATAAAATAAAAGACTACTCTCTTTTCTCCTTAATATATATAACATTATATTTCACAAATAAGATAGTCCTCACAGTTCAACAGAACAAAACACAGCTTTGCTTTTAGAATTGTTTTAATGTATTAACCCTAAACCACCTGTCTGTTTACTCTAGATGTTTTAGACGTTTTATGGTAAATACAGTCCAATCAAGTGCACTTGGATTCATAACTCAATTCCAGAAGAAGGCTCCATCTTTGAACTTCTCCCTTCTGTACCTTCCACTTAATTAAAAACTCTCAGGAGTAGCAAAAGGCACATACATTATGTCCAGTGCGAAGGAAGAGAAATATCAGAGGTGAAATGGCCCAAGTCCAGTGGGAACAATAGGAAACTTCCCATTTTCTAGATCTCATCTGCTTTGCTGTTTTTCCCTATACCTTATGATTGACAATATTCTTACCACTGGGGCAAATTTTGGCTGTCCCTCTGGGAAGATCCCCACGGTCTCCTGAGTGCTCCGCACATGGGATATGGCTAGTGCTAAGGGTACTTCTAGATCTGAGCTGTCTCTGCTTTAATTCATAGCTTGCATAAGACCTTATGTTTTTCCTCCACATCATAAACACACCATAGGGTGGGAGAGGGGGTAAGTGGAGCAGGGCAGTTTTATTTCTTCCTGAATAAGATGGAACAAAGTCATTCCTCCACTGTCCTCCTCACAGCCCAATAGCTGAGACTCATCTTCACAGACTACCTCTCAGCCAACACTGGCAGGAGAAGGGATGGGTTACCTACGCCCATCAACCCCAAACTGCAGCAGGGACTCCGACTGCATTTCATCTCCTCCTGTAATTTCCTGACCCCTACCCCAGCCTTCACACCCAGCTACCACTTATTATCCTTCAGATTTTAACTCAGATCTTACTTTTTTAGGGGAGCCTTCCCTGATTCTCCTTCACAGAACAGTGACCATGCTTGTTTTTGTTCATTGCTGTTGAATGTCTATTACCAAACCTATAGTATAGAATAAAAAATACCTGTAATGCATTTCAGCATAATAGTTCTAAAGTAATAAAAATGGATTGTGACAGTTTTCAAGAAACAGCTCTTGGTTTTAGTGAACAGCAAAGCACTCAGAACTTTACCAAGATGGTGTACCTCTATAGCTTCCAAAGGAATAGCTATTCGAACCTGAAAGAAATACTGCATTTTGCCATGTATAATGTGTGCCACATTTTTGGCCCAAACATTCAGGAAAAAAATCTTTCATTTTAATTTTTTATTTAAATTTTTTATTTATTTATACTTAGATACTTTTTTGTATTATAAAGGAATTTTAACATTTATTTTTGAACATATTATGGTACAAGAAATTTTATGTATGTAACAAATAATTACAAAACACAAGAACAGTCACAAGATATTTCAGGTACTACCCATGTATAATGCACATCCTTATTTTTCCCTCAAAAATTTGGGCAAAAATGTACTCATCGTACATGGCAAAATATGGTAGGAGAACAAGTTAGCATAAAGGTTAGTGATAGTAACAATAGGGCAGGCCAGATTTTTGAAGCTTAAAGTCATGGTGGATTAAAAACAAATTCAATTAACACTCTATTTCTAGATCTTAGGAGTCCCTTGTAATAGCCATTCCTTAAGTAAATACAGCATAGAAACTAGTAATGTAGAGGTAACATTTTCTCAACAACTATCACACACCAATTGTCTATGAAAGCATAATCATTAAAAACCAAATATCTTCAAAACTAAAATGTAACTTTAAATAAGTTATCAAAGGTTAGATGTTTTATGGTAAATACAGTCCAATCAAGTGCACTTGGATTCATAACTCAATTCCAGAAGAAGGCTCCATCTTTGAACTTCTCCCTTCTGTACCTTCCACTTAATTAAAAACTCTCAGGAGTAGCAAAAGGCACATACATTAGGTCCAGTGTGAAGGAAAAGAAATATCAGGGGTGAGACAGCCCTGGTTATCAAAAGAGCCTGAAAAATCACCTAATCCCAATTCTTTTACCTTGAAAGAAGTTAAACTCAAAACTATGAATAAGCAGGACTGAGGATTTAAGTCTTCACACTGCCAATCCAGTGAGTTTGCCATGACACTGTGTTGGTTATATTTCATAATCAAATATAAAAACTGGCAGTCACATAAAGTAAGTGGAAACTTGTACAGTCTATGGTGTACAAAATTGGTCCCTGTGTTTTAAATTGTCTTAAGTATTTTAAGTATGTGCATATATCTGAGAAGGTGGTTGGGGGAAACTTTCTATCAGCATCCTTTAAGTAGTGAAATCTTACTACACCTATCCCTTACTCTTGGAATGACACGCTCACTGATCTTTCAAGTCCCTTAAAACATTCACCAATGGCTGACAAAGAAAAATCCATTTAAAGACAAGAGAAGGACAATTCCTGATTGGGATATTTCCTTTTCACTATGGCCTCACCCCAGATTTCTTTGGAATTCCAGGGAGATATGGTGCTGTGGTAATAAAATATTAATAGACCAACTACTTGAATCCAAGGGCTTTAAGAGTCATAGGCACCAAAAGTGATTCAAAATATCTGAGCTGAGTTCCAGGAGTACATAAATCCTCAATGATCACATTGTCGGACCCAGGAACTAGCTCAGATATGTGCTTTTAAACACCCAGGGGCCCTAAACCAGCTTTCAAAATGAAACTGAAGATAAAGAAAGCTGTCAGCAAATAACAGCATCTGGGTTAGATATTTCACAAGGACTGTTGATCTTAAAAAGAAATCATAACAGCCCTGGCTGGGTGACTCAGTTGGCTGGAGCATCATCCCATACACCCAAAATATTGCAGGTTCGATACCCAGTCATGGCTTGTACAGGAGACAACCGATTGATGTTTTTCTCTCAAATCAATGTCTCTCTCTCTCTCTCTCTCTCTCTCTCTCTCTTTCTCTCCATAAACATATCCTCAGGTGAGGATTTTTAAACAAAGAAGAATAAATCATAAGTTAAAATAAGGTAGAATATTTTGCAATCAAGCTTAGTCACTAAAATAATCTATTTAGGCAGAATTCTGGTATACAATTATTTTTGCAAGATAGAAAATACATCCAGTTTCTTTTCTCATGCACTCAAATCTTGCTCATTTGCTCTTTCTTTCTATGTTACTGCTTTTTCCTGTTAGAATTTATGATTTACAACTATACATATATCATTTCCTGAATCATACAATCTCTCCTCTCAATTTATTTTTTGCACATTATTGTAAATTGCTTTTTTCTTGTAACAGTTTTATATTACTAAATTCTAGCTACTGTGTATCATTGACATTTAGCCAAATGAGATTTCATAATAGGTGTGTTTTTAACTTTTAGCCTAGCAAATATTGAAAATGTTTCCATTTTTCTTACATTCTTTCCATCCACAGTGCAATTTTCCTTCCACTCATTTCTCATTCCCTAAGGTGAAGAAATCCATGCACATACCAGCATTTTGAATGAAACAGGCATATGTTTAAGCTTCTTAGACTGTTCTTGATTCCAAGGTTCACTGTATGGTTCACCTAGCCCTAGTTTTCATGGCAATTAATTTAAGCTAATGGAGACCTTTAATTCGTCAAGCCTTCCTCATACATGGGATGCTCTCCTGCCAACTCTTTGGTTTTCCTAATAATAGAGAAATGGGTCCATAGCACGAGAGATGGCAATTTCAGACATGATTGCTGTGTGCTGTTTTCGGACGCTCATTTTCAGGTGCAATTTAGCCATGTGGGAATATGACAGCTAATGCACAAGCTTTCTTCATAGGAAAAAAAATAAACTTCAGTCTTTATTTCCTCACTTTGAATCCCACGATGATGATTAATAAGTATGTGGTTATGTATGAAGTAGGTCCTCTATCTCTACAATTTTATAATACTTTTTAAAAGTAAAAAATAAGTGCTAGCTATGATTCCTAGGAACACACATTTTAATCTTTAGTCTTCTTTCTGTGCTTCTCAATACAACCTACTAAGTAATAAGTGAAAGTCAATGAGAAAGTGAATCATATATTACAATGCTAAGGTTTATATAAACATTAAGGTCTTTGAATATCAAAAGGAATAGATGTCCCTAGTGAGTCTTAGTAGGAAATAAATAAGACAAAACTGCCATTTCCTAACCTTTGATTTGGGCAAGTAAGTTTCACTTTCCTGAATATCAAACTTATCATATGTGAAAAGAGTGTATGTAAAAATCTTTGTTGTAGGGGAAATTGTGGCCAAAGTCC